AGGATCGGCAGGGGATGCTCACTCCTCCTTTGCACCTGACCCAACCTCTGATGTTTGGAGGTCCGTATTTGCTCGGCTATTTTGTATTGTTTAATGGACTTTTGAGTTCGAAAACTGTTTGTTATCTCTCCCTTTTAGGAAACTTTTTACACTAGTAATACTTTAACGACATTTTCAAAATTAACAAACCCCTCTGCTTTAGGTCTATGATAATAATGGGGAAAATACTTACGTAAAGGTTTAATTGTACAAATGTTTTTACGTTTGGATTACAAAATCATTTGATTCTAGGATCATCAAAACGATATTGTTTTCAGATAAGGCCAAGGTTGGAAAAAATTCAGCATTTTTGATGCATTTTCACTTTTCCGTTTAGAAGTAAACGTTAAAAGAGAGATAACCTTACTTCAGATTTCATGACTCTATATCTATGCCCAAGATTTATCCATTTCATCAATATTTGCCTTATTTTTAATTCAGATTAAGCAGAGAGAGAGAGAAAGAGAGAGAGTAATCCAACTACTGTGTGATTTATTTTCATTGAATACTTTCCCTTTCGATGAATTTTACACTATAATGTCTACACAATTATGATAGCGATTCACAATTGCGTTTTCGTCATTTTTAATGGTGATTGATAGACATTCTGTGTACTAATATATTTGTTGTAGAATCCCAACTAGTAAGAATTTAATGTTTAAACGTAAAGATTTGATTTATTCAATGTGTAGAGATAACGAACAATACTCGAGCTCAAAAGTCCATTAAACATTACAAAACTGAAGCAGAGCAAACAGGGGCCTCCAAAACATCAAATGTGGGATCTGCGACGGTGCCATCTAGGGGCGAGCATCCCCTGCCGACCGGTCACATCCGCCGTGTGCTTCATGTCATGAAAAAGACCCCCCCCCCCCCCCCCCAAAAAAAAAAGAAATTCCGTAGACAATTCAGTGTATAAATAATGGACTAACAATTAGTTTGAAAAACGTCTGCCAGCATTTGACTCAACGATAGATTGTATTTGCTGACAAGATCATTGTATCCACCATAGAACTTATGAAATGATGAAATTAAACGAGACTGTTGATATTCTTGTTTCATCAAATTATTTGTCAATAATTTACCCGGTTTTAGAAATTGTTCATACGTTGAACATGCCCATCTGTATAGAAATCTATAAACTCTGTGTGCAGGTGACAATGGTATATTGCTGCATAAATAAGGGAAGTTGACAATTGAAAAGTGAGAGTCATCACGTCATCACGCTTATCATAAAGCTTTGTTGTTAGATAACCATTAACATCTCTTTTAGTATATGATCCAAATATGAAACAGCGATAAACATATAATACCACAGTATATAATTCGCTATCTTATAGGGCCTCATGGAGTTTGTGTTACCAAGGCTTTATATTTAGAAATTTTAAAGAAATTTTGATATCAATGAGTGTATTTTGTAAAAAAAAAAAAAACAATTAAGTCTCAATAGAATTTAAGTTTTAAGTGTTTAAAACGACTAATGACATTATTCAACGTTGGTACTTTCAGTTATCAACCTTATAGAGGAAATAGAAAGGTAAAATGAGTAAAGAATACATAATAAGAGGCTCAAAATTATATTCAATCAATAAAAATTGTGAGAAGAGCAAACACACACCTTTACAAACATCAGATGCCATGGCGGTGTATATTAGCATCTCCTATTTCCCGATCACAACCACCGTGTGCTCCTTGGCATAAAAGAGCACTGCAAAAATTCATTGAAAATTTAGTGGGAAAGTATTCCTAACAAACTGCTTAAAAGTCATCAGTCAAGAGTTGTGCGTTACTGATTCGTTATCCATCTAATTCTTTTTTCAGAAGAATAGATAGTTTTCATGTTGCCATTAATCGCTGCAGTGAGATTTTAACATCCATCCGATACTTTAAATGTATCTTGTCAAAATTTTAATTCCATCTTTCACATAATTTGGGCCAAGATCTGGAATTACCTTCCAAAGAATTCGTAACTTTTATGTTTTATAAACTAAAATGTGTCGAATCATTAGGACAATCTCCAAAGAATGTTTGCTTGCCTTCTCCCGATCAAGGATAAAAGGTTATGTAGAGGTAGGAAGGGACTTTTTTTTTATCAAAAACAACTGAAATTGTGAAGAAAAGATAAATATTTTTGAAAAAATTCTTTTATATATTTCCCGGAGTTCAGAAGTAGGTTTTTAGTCACTCTTTTTCGCCAGTCGGTGGGGAGAAGGCAAACAAACTATTTAAATAAAAAGAATTTTAAAAAAGATTTTTCTAAAATGACAATTTAAGAGGATCTTTATGAGACATGATCATTGTATTTCATATAAGAGTATGGAATAAATATACTACTTTGATGTTTTTAAAAGCAGAGAGTATTAAATCAATCTTAAATTTATGGTGCCTTGTCTGTTTAATTAAAAGAACATTTTTGACAAAAATCAAGATTGTCAGATTTTTTTATTTGATTTTTTGTGTACTTTATTCATGTTAGGATTTAATTTCTCAGTTGTAGACAATGTAATAAACCAAACAAAGAAAGTGTTCTGATTGAAAATAAAATGAATTTATCTGTTTTGATTTTTAAAAAATGGAAACTTAATCAAAGTTGTTTTAAAAAAGATTAATATGTTAATTTTTTAAATTACTTTATTTTCAGTCTTTACTTAAAAGTATTAAATTAAAAAAGTTACGTAGCTAAAAAAAAACACATCATTAAATTCTTCTGATTTAACAACAATTTCATTAAAAGTTAAATCTTCGCAAAGTCTACGGTCATTATTGTAACCCTTGGTGTAAATACAACTTATGACTAGGTGGTATTTTTCCGACGTAGGTAATACCTTGTGTTATGTTATCGCTTTATCATCTGTAGCTCTGTGACTTCCACGTACTCCGCATCACTGATAAAGACTAGGCTCACGGTGGGTGTAAGGTGTAGCTTCCTCTAGGTACCTGATCTCACTTCTGGAATTTCAAGAGATCCCTGTTTTGTGCCTTGTTAATAGAATTGCTCTGATTGTAGAACTGGTTTTAGAACGATCTCTATTCGTTGTCTTCCCTTTTTTTATTACTCATAATGTTTTACGAGAAACGTGGAAAAATTCTACTTTGGCTACCGAATTTTAAAAATGGAAAGATTAGGAATGGGGATACATATATTTTTTATTAGTGAAGATGGATGTACATTGCGGTAATTATTCAGTTAATTAATTTTAACCTGTGTAAAAGAGACAAATAGATATTTTTTTAGTATACTATAGTGGTAGACACATTAAAATTGCCATCCATGCTGTAAGATTAGAACAATCTCATGCCGTGCCCCAAGCAAAAAAAAACTTTCTGATTTTGCAATCTCATTTATCATTGTATCAAAAATCTTACAAATCAGTAGAAAAAAAATTGCTTGTTAAACAAGAAAAAAAAATCCCACGTCTCGAATAAATCCCGGTAGGTAAAATCCATCAGAAATGTCTTACTGCATATCAAAGAGAAAAACGTAATTTGATTCAAATAATTCGAAATAATTTCAGGAGTATTTTCTGTCCTGTGTATAGGTGGGGAATATTTGATACATCAGAGACTGACACCTCTGTTTCATATTTGGATCTTTTACTTGACAAAAAACGTCAATAGTAATCTAACAACCGAGCTCTGTGATAAACATGATGACTATCACTTTTCAGTCGTCAACCTCCCTCTTACTTATACAGTAATATATATTCATCATTTGCATACGGAGTTTATATATCTCAATTCAATCCATACGCAAGAGGATGCTCTAAGTACGAACAATTTCTAAAACGAGGTAAATTATTGACAAACAAGTTGATGAAACAAAATATTAGCAATCTCGTTAAAGTCATCATTTCGTAAGTTCTATGGTCGATGCAGTGACCTTATTAGCAAATACAATTCATCATTGAGTCAAATGCTAACTGAGTTTTTCATACCAATTGTAACCCCATTATTTACACACTGAATTGACGACGGATTTTTTCGTTATTTTCAGATCATGTCAAAGAGCACACGACGTGTGTGGTCGGCAGGGGATGCTCACTCCTTCATGGCACTTGATCCCAGATCTTATGATTTGGAGGTCCGTGCTCGCTCTGCTCCTGTTTTGTATTGTTTAATGGACTTTTGAGCATATTTTGAATACTGATTTTTTATCTAGATGCAGTTATATTATACAATAACTAGATTAAAGTACCGGTAATTATTGATGAAATATGAACATAATGAACAGTGACCCTGTTCCAATAAAATTTAATGTGCCAGAAGAAATTTAAGTTATCAGTAACATGTCCACAGTGCCCTAGTGAAGAATAGAGAGAAAGAAATGGTCTTTTTACACTAAAATTAATTAAGCAATAATTCCCATTTAGTCAGTGGGAGTTGTCCCTACTTACCCAAAAGGTTAAGGCTATCCTTCAAGCACTACAGATGCACACTCAACTGAATTTTTGAATAATGATGTCACCTAGAAAAGTTTCATTATTTCCACGTACGATCAAACTGTTAAAATATATATTTTTAGACCATTATATAAACTTGGGGATCGAAATTGTGTTTATTTATTGAAAGTCTCACTAAAATCCAGTGTTTTTGAAGTTACTTTGGATCAAGTAATGAACACACTATTTTCATATATTAGTCTTTCATGGAGTATACCTGAGATGCATGTCATAATTTTTTTTTCGACGGAAGATTATTCGCCATCCATTTTTTTTTTAGCAGGGATTCAATTTGAAATACATGTTTGTTTTTACAAACTTCAGTTAGATACACATGCTTGTTTAAGTTAACAATTATGGCAATCATCAGTTAAGGCACATTCGATAAGAAGTTTTACTTCTAATCTATTGTTTATTAAAGTCAAAGCATACCTGACTTGATTTTTTAAGTGTTAATTTGTTGTCCACTGATAAAATTAATTTCAGAATTAAAGAACTTGTCAAAACAAAACAACTCTAGTCATGAGTGCAAACAATATTTATTTTTTAAACATATTTTCGACATGCACAATATGTCAAAAGTAATATACCATCATCTCGCAAAATCATAGATATAAAAACATTATTGACGATATGAAATTGCAGAAAAGATGGGACTTTCAGTGCATTGTTAAAAGTCGTACAAACGTATCAGAGGTTGATTCAGGAGTTCTTTAGTAGACTTTCTCTGAAAGAAATAAAAACAAAGATAAAATTATTCTAAATTCAGAACTTATTAAAATACAATAACTTCATAGTTAAAAATAAGGATCGGGATTCAGTGTGTAACTACTTACTGCTATATCCTCTTGATGAGTAGCCTAGTCCTCCTAGTCCGCCTCCTAGTCCTCCTCCTAATCCGCCGAGTCCGTATCCTCCATATCCTCCAAGACCTCCTAGGCTTCCACCAAGTCCTCCGAGTCCACCTCCTAGTCCTCCCAGGCCATATCCTCCATAACCTCCTAATCCTCTACCTAGGCCTCCACCTAATCCTCCTAAGCCATATCCGCCATATCCTCCTAGGCCTCCATATCCTCCTAGGCCGCCATATCCACCAAGGCCTCCACCAAGTCCTCCAAGTCCATATCCTCCATATCCGCCGTATCCACCCAGTCCTCCTAATCCCATGCCTCCTCCTAGTCCAAGGCCTCCGCCGTATCCACCTCCATAGGGGTAGGAGTTGTAGGAGTTGTAATAGCTATATCCTGAACCCAATCCACCAAGACCAGGACCAAGTCTGCCGAGGCCTCCTAGAGAGCCGAGGCCACCAAGACCCCCTCCTAGGCCAGAACCCAGGCCATATCCTCCATAGCCCCCGTATCCGTAGTTAAAGGCTGATGACAACCCACACACGATTCCAAAAACAACAAGAGCCAACATGGTTCTACTGCAATAAATGTTCAAAAGCATTTTATTTTTAATTCTTAAATCACGATGTCTTTTAATAAAAATATTATCAGGCCAGCTTGAAATAATGTTAAACGCCCTCTTTCGACTTAGAATAAAAAAAATTGGATCGGCAGATAGATGAAGAAATTATTACAATATTTTTTTAGTAGAAAATTTCAATTTCAATGCTAAATTTTTGAAATATATTTTCCTGCAAAGATAAAAATTTAATTGATTACTGGAGGTAAAATAGTTTTGAGTCGAGCCATTTTTAGCCAGTCGGTCAGGAAAGGGTAACCAAACAATTTCTCAAAGATGGTTTATACTAGTATATAGCTTCACCGTTTCCATACACTTTTCTAAATAGGAGCTTACCTTGGATCTTTGATGTATTCTGCTGTACCTCCGATTCTTGAATGGAAGTTCCAAGAAGTTCCTCTTATTTATATTGTCCAATAATGTTTCTGTGGTTTTTTATGACATTTGTTGATGAATAAGTTGACTAAAAACAGGATTATTTTTTCTGTATAAGACATAAAAACAGGTGTATATTGTGTTTGAACGACCGCAATTTATCAATCATTATAGCGTACATTAAAGTTATATAAATTACGTCGTAATTGTGGGGTCCACGTGATTTAACTTAAATGTGCATTTAATATCAGATGTAATGTGACAGTGAATAAATAGAAAACTTTCAAAAATTCATACTTCAGAATAAATGCATTTACAGGAGGGGGGGGGGGGGGGTCTTTCTCAAAGTCCAGAAACTTTTAACGAGTTTTTAGTTATTTAACATAAACATAATCCTGAGTTTTAAATATCGGTTATGGCTAAATATTTAATTAAATAAAAAAATAGCTTCTTTCAGCAACATCCCTTTATTTAAGATAAGAGATTCATTTATTTAAAGGGGTAGGAGATTAAGAAACTCGTTGAAATGTGAGAGAGTGCTTTTCTATTTTTTTCTCACTGATACCAAAATACGACTGGCAGTATTTCCTTTTTTAATGGACTTTTGGTTTGATTGCTGGTCGCATTTCTCAAATAGCACTCTCAACTTAATTCAAATATTAATATCTATTTATATACTGTATATAAAAGCTTGGATTTTTTTTGGTGTAAGTTGAAGCTTTATCTCTAAAAGCTTTGTAAGCGTATAATTTGGCTGCATGGTTAGAAGTTGATCAAATTATACAAAAAAGTTACATGTGAAAAAATGGGAAAAGGTCTTTGACTTCCAGAACATTCCCTCACTATCACTCTAGGTAAAAATGAATCACCACTGGATGTACTTTCAATCCTTGCTTCCAATCTATGACCCTGAAAATGTGTCCAAAATTTGTATGTCATCATGTTACACAACATATACACGGAAATTAAATTATTTGTTAGCAACAATCAACATCAATTTTTTTTCTTAATCGTGTATGAATGAACCACACAACCACACAAATATCACATTTCTAAAATATTGCGATGTAGAACCCTTTTCCGTTGATATTTCCAGAGTTTTACAGATGTTGTGCGTCTTGCTTTTGGTCACAAAGGAGTTTTTCTTTAACTAAAAGAATATGAAGAATATTGCTTTTTTTTAATTTGGATAAAATTTATTTTATCTTTAGTTACTATAAATATAGAATTACCATGAAGTGCTGTCATATACATTTAAGCAAAGATAAATGAAAATAAATAAATAAATAACACGAGCTTAAAAAAAAACAAAACATACATTTAATTTTAAAAAAAAAGACTAACAATGTTTAAAAATATTTTGTTTTTCATTGAATAACTGACTTAAAATCATTGTAAGATGGAATTTGTCAAAATCTTAAATAACTCTATAGACATCCTTCTGATACGCCTGAGTTTGAGACATAGTAGTTATGATAACTCGTTGAATTTTAGATATATATTAATTAAATAAAGTCATAAATGGATATCTTAATGAAATTAATATAGACATTAATTATTTATTTACATTGTCTGAAAGAAAACTTGAAAACCTTTCACTTATATCCTACTTTCTATAAAGAAATATCCTGTTATTTGAATGAATCCAAAAAGGAAATAGAAGTATCAAATCTATCCAATGTCAAATTTGCACGACAACCACTTTAGAATAACATTTTATATCAATTTAAAGGTTCAATATACTTTAAATTTCAATATGCCTGAAAAATTGGATTGCAAGTAAAATTTTGTATACGAAAGATCCCTTTGACGAAAATGGTAACTTTAAATCATTGCAAAAAATTTCTAATACCCCGGTACTCTGATAAATAAATCGAACTGGTTGTGTGAATACAAGATTTTAAAAAAAGTAGTAGCGAAACATAGTAATATTTTGATATGAAGTGTTGTGTTTTTACCAAGACAACTTCTGTAAATACTTAAAATTTTATCAATGGTTTTCAGTGTTTTACAGATTAAAAAAATATGAGAACATGTTGTCTAAAAAGTTAGATATCCATGTTATCAATCAATATTAAACCGAAATTTTTGTGTGAGTAAAGATTACTTGTGTAATATTTATACAAATTAAATTAAACTCATGTATGATAAACATCTTGGTGAATTTGATTATAAATTGCTGAATAATATTCTATGATATGATTCATTTTTACAAAAATGAAAATTAAGAGCAAATGAAAAATGTGAGTTTTGTGGAAATGAAAATGAAGATATGACATTTTTTTTTGATTGTGATGTAGCTGCAATAATGTAGCCCTCTCCGATTTTTTTATCTGATATTTTCTAGCTGCAATAATGTAGCCCTCTCCGATTTTTTTATCTGATATTTTCTGGAGAGGGCTACAATTCCATCGCATCTCCGTAATGGTGCAAATATATTTTTTTGATACAGGTGATTGGAGGCAAAATAAATTATTTTTACATTAAACTTACTTCTTATAAGACGGAATTTTTATTCACTGTCAACAACATAGCCTGTTAAACTCGAAAACCATGTAAAATAAATCTGTGTCTTTCCCAGCAGCCATGACAGTTCACGCGTGACGTAGTGAGACTTTCGCTTGAAATTTGGAACAACCAAATAAAGCAAATGTCGATGTTTACAAACGATTGTGCTATAATATATTACAAAAACATCGATAAATAAGACCATTTCAAGTGTTATTTTTGCGCAAACAGCGATACGTATGCTTAAAATAAGGGAATTCCTAGTTATCCGCTCCTATAGAACCTAAATTCTTTGACTGTCCCAAAATACAATCCATCAAGGTCAGTAAACATGGCGGATAAATTCAAGTTAAGCTGTTGACACACACGTAAAATAACCGATATATGGATCGCTGTGAATATTTTTGGATTATTTATGTTTTGCATAATTACATATTTGGATTCCAGGTAAGAGATGATAATAAAATAGCCGTTTACTGATAATTTGAGCCGACATCCGTGCGGGAGTGATCCACTGCCGCATCTGCGCCATTATAGAGATCCTAAGGAGTTGTAGCCCTCTCCCCAAAAAAAAATCGGAGAGGGCTACATTATTGCAGCTAATTGTGATGATGTAAAAGGTGTATGGCAAAAGTTGAATATTGTTATGAACAATGATGTGCAATGGAAACATATTGTCTTGGAAACAGATTCAAGAATTCTTTTTTACAATATTATAACATCATAATTGGCATATAAAATATATAAATTTAAAATGAAGAGCAGAATAGAAAATATTATACAAGAGAAGTCCACATTAGAAAATATCATTAGAGGTTAATTAGAAAAAGATATAGATTTCAGGTTAAAATTTTTAAAAAAAAAACATGCAAGTTCAAAGATCCACTTAAACTTCTAACAAATCTAAATACCCGGGGTAACTGGCAGTTGTAGATGGGTATGGATGTTTGAAATTTATCATGAATAGCTTGCATTTGGGTGTCTTTTAAAACCAATTATCAATAACTAAAACAGGGACCCCTGGAAATTTCAGAGCTGGGGTCAGTTACTAAGAGGAGTAAGCACCCCTTGTTTACCCGTTACTCTCATTGTGAGCCCTATGTTCTGAGCAGATAGACTTAGTAAAATTCAGCTCAAAGTAAAAGCCTAACCATTGGTTTGAAGCAGGCAAAAGATAGACAATATTTGGTAAGAAGGTCCTTATAACCATCACAAGAAATATTGACTTTAAAGGAGGCTGTTGAAATTCCTGTAACATCAACTTATCATATCATTAAATGACGATTGAAAAAAATCAGATAATTGATTGTGGTCTCCTCTTTCAAAAACCTTTGTCAATGTAAATAAGATATCTCTGGTCTAAAATTTCTTTTATTTTCGATATTTTTTTTCCTTGTGAATAGAAACCTCTTTTGTTAATTTTATAAGGTCTTTGGAAACAGTTTGACGAAAGAAAACTCTTAAAAAATGCTAGGATGTTTACCTTTCACACCAAAACAATCTATTCCATTATTACAATATTCTTTGCAAAATTAACAAAAAAAAAAAAAAAAGAATTGGTGAAGATATTATATACTTGCATTTGTTTAGATGCAAAACTCTCGTGTGTTTTTTTCTGACATTTGCCTACTAGTATTTGGTCAAAATAGTGTTATATTTGGCTAAAATGTACTGTGTGCACTAAACGCGTCTCATATGATTTGTTAAATTTTACGTACATTCCACTCGAGATTCAAGGATGCATTGAAATTACCATATTTTTACTTTTCTTGATGATATTTAAAATTCAGCCCTCATTACTTGATCTGCATTGTGCATGCAAGAAGCAGAAAATACACAAGTTTAAAGTCAGTTGTGACCCATATTGTCTTCACCTTCTGAAATTTATAATAATAACCTTACTTCTTAACGTATGCCAGCCTATACTCGAAGATGAGGTTAAACTGTTAATAAATCTTTATACCATTTCAAAACAACTTTTCTCCTTTTGTTCTAATCTGTTTTTTGTCCTCCGCTTTTGCGACAGCAAGGGGACATTGAATCACATTCGTTAGTTCGTCTGTCAGAAAAAACTTTAACCTTGATCATAACTTTTGAATGAGAAGAGATAGCGCTTTCATATTTCATATGAACATTAACTTTGACAGGACCTTTCCAAATATACTATGAAGTTTGATCCGTGACATTGAAGTTTGACCTTTTTAAAAAATATAACATTACTTTAAATTGATCATATCTTTTGAAAGAGAAAAGAAAAGGCTTTTATATTTATTTACATATTTTTATATAACCTATAACGTACAAGACCTTCCTATATATACTATGATTTTTGACCTGTGAACTTAATCTTGAAGTAAGACCTGCTTAAAATTATTTTTGTTTATGACTTTTTATTGAGAAGATATATATATTTTTGCATTTGACATTTGCATTACCTGTGACAAAATGTTTCCGAGATGTTCCTGAGCATGATATGCTTTTTGACCCATTGACCTTCATGTTTGACCTAGTTATCAAAAATCTTAACTTCGTTGATTTTTTTTTTGAGTGACACATGAAAGGACCTTCGTATTTGACGCAAAACGCAAAACGCCATAGAAAATGGCATGCTATACTATCTACGCAGACTCCGACAGCGGGGGACCACAATTCTTTGAATTTGCTTGTTTGTTATTATTATGTGTTGGCCTCTTGCTTAG